TGTTGCCGCAGCTGAGGGGAAGCTCAGGGCTGTTGCTGCTCGGGGGCGGGGCGGGCTCCGGATGCATGGAGCACGCTGAAAAGGCGCGGGCCGGCCCAGGCGCCTGCGAAGGCAGCGGCCCCCACCCCCCCCCGCACCTCCGCCTCCGCCTCCGGCTGAGGCAGCCGCCGCCTGGGCCCCTCCGCGGGTCCGGCCTGACCCGGCCGGCCGCTAAAGACGAGAAGGTCGAGGAAGCGAGTACAGCACAAGCTCGCAAGCCCGCCACGCCGCTTGCAAAAGCCCGGGTCTGCAGAGACGAAAGCCTGCGCGCGAGGCAGCGTCCCGGATCCCCGGGCCCCGGACCCCCGGCGCGCGCCACGATTGGCCGCCGCCGCGGGCTGATTTGCATGCTCCCCGCCCACGAGGGGTGGGCGTGGCCTGCACGAGTCAGGTGACTCGTTCCGTCGGACGGTACCGCCCACAGTCCCTGGCCACGCGCCGTCAGCGTCCGCGCCTCTTCCTGGAAGTGCCCCAGCGCCCGGGCCTCACGGCTCTCCTGCTGCCGGCGCCTCACATCTCCACAGCTGCTCCAGTGGCCCTTCTTCCAGAGCTCGGACTCCTGGGTCGCGCCACCTGAAGTCACCTCTGGGCGCCTCCTGAAGCCCGTTTCCCCCTTGGAACAAGGTGACTCAAGGTCTGCAGAAAAAAAGCAGACTGTGATCTGGAGTTCATTCATTCTCTATTTATTGAGCACCTGCTGGGTGCCAACACTGTTCTGGGCACTGAGGGTAGGGTGGTGAACAAAATGGACAAAATCCCCTGCCTTCGTGGAGCTTACATTCTAGTGGCGGAGACACGCAAACACCGAGGAGTAAATTATAATAGTTTAGAAAGTGATACATGTATAGAAAAAAATAAAGCAGGGAAAGGGGGCACTGGTAGTGCGGGGGCTGCAATTTTAATTGAAAATGCTCTGGACAAGGTGTTTTGTTGTTGTTGTTGTTTTAGGGCAGGGATTTTTTTTGTCTGTTTTGTCCAACTCATTCACTTACAGTTCACTGTCTTCTGAAACAAGCCGGGGTGCAGGATCATAAACCCATTCAGTAAGTTTACTGCGCGCCTATCAAACGCTAGGCTGAGGGATTCCAAGAAAATGGTAACTTTCATGGAATCTTATAGTTTAGTGAAGAGAACAGGCAAACAACAAACAAAATAAGTTCACATCTTTCTGACTTGGTCACTTTTGAGCTGAGACCCGAACCAGCAGTGCAAAGAAGCAGGGACCTGCTTTCCAGGAGTGGAAGGGAACAGCAGATGCAAAGACGCTGAAGCAACGATATCTGCCCGTTGGATCATTAGGAGGCCAGTTAAGCTGCAGAATACTGGAGGGCAGAGGGGCAGTGGGGGTAGAGTAGTGAGCTAAGAACTGTTCCCTAGGGTATCGACTCCAGGAGGGCAGGGACCTTCACTGTCGGTTTCACAACTCTACCCCCAGCATCTAGAGTTATTGCTTGGCACACTGCTCAGTAAATATCTGTTGAATGAATAAGTGCGGGAGAGAAAGGAATGAGTGAAACTCATAATTAGCCCAGAGTCAAGTCACAAGCATGCGGCATTCCAGGTCAGCTATGTGAAATTTAACTCTTGTCACCACTAGAGGGCGCCCCTCCACTCACCCACATTATGGGCTAAAACTGAAGGCCCCCTCCTCCCAAAAGTCTCTGGGATTCTCCCAGAGACCTTTGTTTTTATGAGACCGGGAAACTTGGAATTTTAAATCTCACCCCATTGGGCTTGTTTCTTTGGTGGCCTTTGTACTTGTTACCTCTTTCACTTACCATCTGTGTCTCAGCTCAAATATCACCTCCAAAGAGAGACCTTCCTTCTCTGTTTAAAGTTGCCCCTGTTTCATGTTCTGTCCCCTCGCCCTGTTTTATTTCCCTTATAGTTCTGATCACTACAGTATCTGAAATCACTTAATTTATGTACTGACCTGTTTGGCTGTACTCTCCTCCCCCCGCCCCCGTCCCGGCTCCCCCAGGAGATGAGTGTCTGAGAGCAAAGTTCCCCTCTGTTTAAATTACTTCCTTATCACCCAGGGCCTCTCACAGGATATGGCGCACCGGAGATTCCCAATAGGAACAGGTTCAATGAAAAAGATAATGAAATGTCCTTGGTTCTAAGAGCCCCCCAACTCAGAATTGGGTACACACAACGTTTTGAGGGCCCATGGGGCCTGAGGGAGGCTAGCAGGTCTGGAAGGGAAGAGCCTGGAAGCTGGGAGGAAAGATTTGCTGATTAAGGAGGAACAAAAGAGGTGGGAGTGGCAGCTCAGCAGGGGGCTTTGGGGTGGGGATGGGGCCAGGTTCCTTTCTCAAGATCCTACATCATACCCCTCCCACTCTCCTAATTCTGTGCGGTTTGAGACCTACCATGTGCACAGAGCAAAAGAAAAGAAAAACAAAAATACTATCAAGACTTGGGCTGGTGGCTTGGGAGAGGGGTGAGCATCTGGGCAATTCCTGTTTCCTGCTCTAGGGTCCTAGAGCCCTGAAGGGCCAGTGGTTAATAACTTTTCCCCACTATTGTTAGAGCTAGTCGCGCCGTGAGATACACCTACCCCATTCCTAGCCCCTACTTAACAGAAACTGAGGCCCCAGAGAGAAAGCACCTTCCCAAAGAACACCAAACAAGCCAGTGGAGAATGAGCCTTGGAACCCCAGCTACCCATCCCAGCAGTGCCTCCAAGCACCATGTATGGGTCCCCTTAGTGGCTAGAGGGTGTGTGCTCTCAGCCTTTTGGGGTTTGTATTTGAAAAAGCCAAATAGAAATTTTCAATCAACTCTGTGTATGAGGGTATAGAGATCCAGCTGAAGGGACTGCTGCAAACTGCTTCACCACTGTGGCCAGTGGGCACAGCCTGGGGCTGACCAAAGATGGCAGGAGCTGCCTTGGGAGGTAGCAAGCTCCCTATCACATGGGGTAAACAAAATATTTAGCACTTAAGTAGTACTTATGAATGACAGGCACTATTCCAAGTTCTTTATTAGTAAATAATTTATATACTTATTTTAAATAAATATATAAAATATATTAATACAATAGAATAATTGATACATTTATTAAATACATTGTTATGTTAATATATCTATATTATCTTGTATTAAATATGTTAAATTATTTTGTTGTTTATTATTATTTTATTGTATTGAATATATTATATTGAACTCGAGAATTCCTTACAACAACCTGTTGTATTAATATCACCATTTGAAAAAATTGAAGTGTAGTCGATTTACAATATTGTGTTAGCTTCAGGTGTATATCACCATTTTGCTGAGAAGAAAAATGCACAGAGAGCCAGTAAGTAGTAGTACAGGACATTAAACCCAGTTGGTGGGTCTCCAGAGTCTGGGGCTCAACTACCACCAAAGTCACCCCTACCCCTGCATCAGAATCTCCAGAGGTATTTTTTTAAATGCAAGTTACTAAAACCCACCAAAACAGTTTAGTTTTAGCAAGTTTTTTGGGTAAAGTTTGAGAAGCACCAAACTAGATGAGCTTTAGTTTTTAAGTACTTTTAGTCTTCTGCAGTGGTTAAGGTTGGCTGTTCCCTTGGCCACTCAGTTGCAGTGTGACCTTGGGCAAACTACTTAACCTCTCTGAGCAACCAATACCCTTAGCAAAAATAAAGACATCACAAATACCTATTCATGGACCCTGGACACCCAGAGTCTGGACACCCAGTCACCTTCCCGAGGCAGATTTTAGGAGGGGTAAATCTGATGCCCAGCTGAAGAGGAAATCCCTTGCCCGTTCCTGCCCAAAATGGCCTCAAAGAATTCCCCACTTTCAGTTTGAAAAGAGAGCATTCTGTCAGAGCCCATCATGGTTGCTTGCCTCTATTTCCTTCCCCCATCTCTGCCTTACCCTCTGATTGCTCTAGGTTTGAAACCCCTAAATTAATAATAATAAAAGAGCCATCATCTCATTTATTTATATTTATTTATTATTTTTGGCTGTGTTGGGTCTTCGTTGCTGCGCGTGGGCTTTCTCTAGTTGTGGCGAGCGGGGGCTACTCTTTGTTGCAGTGCGCGGACTTCTCACTGTGGTGGCTTCACTTGTTGTGGAGCACGGGGGCTTCAGTAGATGTGGTGCGTGGGCTCAAGTAGTTGTGGCTCGCGGGCTCTAGAGCGCAGGCTCAGTAGTTGTGGCGCACGGGCTTAGTTGCTCTGTGGCATGTGGGATCTTTGCGGACCAGGGCTCGAACCCGTGTCCCCTTATTGGCAGGCGGATTCTTAACCACTGCGCCACCAGGGAAGTCCAGAGCCATCATTTCTTGAGCTCGTGCCTTTATAGACCAGTGCTTGTATACCTCTGGTGATGGGAAGTGCCCTCCTTCTGTACCAGTTATTTCTAAGAGTTCAAAAGTTCTCCTTCTGTGGAGCTGGTACAGGCCTCCCTGTGACTCCTTCTGTGTGTCACACAGAATGTGTGAAATCCCTCTGCTGCCCAGCCCTGGTGCCACCTCCACAGGACATCTGGACGGCAGCATTAGTAAGTGATCCAGGGGCTTTCAGAGTCAAAGAATTGGGTGATGGAAGCAGGGGACTGGTTACAAGATTCAGAATTAGGGTTTGTGTTGATTTCAAAATGATTCTCTGTGCCTGAAGCTCAGAGACCATGTCCAGGGGAACCCCTGCCCTGCCTCCCTGCTCCCCAGGCCCTGGGCTTTTAGGGCTCACTCTTCTCCCTGGTCAGAAGCCGTTGCTGGGCTGTGTGTTTGTGCTCATGCCTTTTATGGTTAGTGCTTTTTCTGTCCTGGCTAAGAAATCTTTGCCAACCCCAAGGTCAGGGAGATATTCACCTATGTTTTAAAATTTTTAAATGTAGATTTTTAAAAAGCTTTAGAGGGACCTCCCTGGTGGTCCAGCAGTTAAGACTCTGCACTCCCGATGCAGGGGGCCCGGGATCAATCCCTAGTCAGGGAACTAGATCCCGTATGCCCTAGATCCCACATGCATGCATGCTGCAACTAAGACCCAGCACAGCCAAATAAATAAATTAATAATTTTAAAAAAGTTTTAAAAAGTATAAAGCTTTAGAGTTTTTCCTTGTATGTTTATGTTTACGATCCATCTCAAACTGATTTTTGAGTGGAGTAAAATTTCCCTATTGAAATGCATGGATCATTCTGTCAAAAATCAAGTGACAATACGTGAGGGTCTGTTTCTGGATTCTCTATTCTATTCCATTGCTCTATTTGCTAATATGCCAATATATACTTTCTTGATTACTCTAGCTTTAAAATGTGTTGAAGTCAAGTAGGTTAAGTCTTTCAACTTTGTCCTCCTTTTTCAAAATTGGTTTGGCTATACTAGGTACTTTACATCTCTCTCTATATTTTGGGGTAAAATGTTGGGATACATTTTGGAATACATACATGACTTGGGAATCATTGCATCTCTTAAAGGGGTGGGGTCTTCCTGGAAATCTAGCATCCTCCATTAGAAATACAGGTCCGGGAATTCCCTGGCAGTCCAGTGGTTAGGACTCTGCGCTTTCACTGCCATGGGCCTGGGTTCAATCCCTGGTCAGGGAACTAAGATCCCGCGAGCTGCGCAGAGCCGCCAAGAAAAAAAAAAAAATAGGACCAACTAGGTCACACTGTAGAGACTGAGCACCTGGGTCAAGAAGGACTGTTATTAGTTAAATTGTGTCCCCCCCAGTACCTCGGAGCGCGATCTTATTTGGAAACAGGGTCTTTAGAGAGGTAACCAAGTTAAAATTAGTTCATTACAGTGAGCCCTAATCCAATATGACTAGTGTGCTCATAAAAAGGGGAGATTTGGACACACAGGCAGGCCCAGAGAGAAGATGATATGAAGAGACACAGGGAGAAGACGGCCATCCACAAGCCAAGGAGTGCCTGAGGCTTCCAGAAGCTGGGAGAGAGGCCTGGGTCAGAACTTTCCATGGAGCCTTCAGAGGGACCACAGCCCTGCTGATACCTTGATTTCAGACTTCTGGTCTCCCAAAGCATGAGACAATAAATTTCTGGTGTTCTTGGCCACCCAGTTTGTGGTACTTTGTTACAGCAGCCCTAGGAAGCTCATATACTTGCCCTAGAGTAAGTTGAGGTGGAATCTTCAGTCAGCCAAGGGACTTGAGTTCTAATAGGTTTATCAGGGAGTTGCAAGTGTGTTCAAGATGTCAGCAGAGATTAGAAAAAGACAAGCAGATTTTTGGAGCTGGGAGCTCCTCGAATCCCAGCTTTGTCAGTTTATAACTGTACCACTTTGGGCAAGCAACCCAACCTCTGTGAGACCCACCTGTCAAATGGGAATAGTAATTAATGGGGTTTGGCAGAAAGGGCTGCTATGAGTGTTCCACAAAAGAACATTTGTCTGGCACTGAGCACAATGCTCAATAAATGGTGGTTACTATTTTCCTTTTTGTGGGATGTGCTGTGCTCAAGGAGAGGGAATTGTTTCATTCCGAACCTGATGAATTGACTACCCTGTGAGCATTCACGAAAGGCAGAAAACCAGTGAGAATCCAACCGGGAAAAACAGATACTAGAATAGGGGAATTTATGCAAAGAATTGCTTCCTAGGTAATGGAAGAACCATGGAAGCACGCAAACAGGGGAGGGAGGGTAAAGAACCTACAGATGAGCGACAGCAGGAAGGCCAGTACCACCCCTGGGATTGGAGGGACCAAAGGAGGAGGTGGTGTTTCTGGTACCCAGGAAGGATTGAGGTCACCAGACAGAAGGTGGACCCACAGTGGGCCTGTCTGATGGGAGGTGGAGACATAGGAAATGTAGCTGCTACTGGAAATATTACCTGAGGCGGAGAGAGGGAGAAATACCCAGGCTTCTCCCTTCCTCCCGCCCACCAGGCTCCTATCACTGACTCCCATTGGTCAATCTATACAGGAAGTCAGTTGATTTGGCAGCCTGCAGAGGCTGGCCTTCCTGTGATACAGAGCTAAACAGAGGAAGGGCAAGGAATGGATTTGAGGGCAAACAAGCCCAGGCCCAACACTGGGGAGCTAGAGTTATATTTAATCTCTCTAAGCCTCAGATCCCCCATCTAGAAAATGGGGATAATGATATCTATGAGTATCTACTCACAGAATAGCTGACTGCATAAAACAAGACAACACGGAGAAACGGTTGAACCTGGTGCCTGCCATATAGTAGGCAGTACCCTGTAAATGTGAATGAATCATCTAGTTAGCTGTTCTCTGCTCAGAGGATGAAAGGGAAGAAGAGGACAGAGGCCTGGGAATAAACTCAAGGTACTGGAGCAATGCTGGTGCTAGTGATATTTTTATCTTGCAGACGTGCCCATCTGTCCTTTTTCTGTTCTAAGCTGGTGACTGTCATTCTCCTTTTAGAAACCCTGAGTCAGGGCTCACCACACCAAGTTCAGGGGAGTCTCTCCACTCCTTCAGAAGGACTTCAGTCCACTAGATTTTTAGTTGGTGTCTCTGCATCCAACCGCTGCCAGATTTCTTTTACCTCCCCCGGCCTGGGGTTGAGCTGTTTCCGGGATCTCTCTCTGTATAATTAAAAAGAAAAATAGAACAGCAGATGTTGCCAAACACGTATTTAAAGTGACACCCTGGGTTCAGGGAGTGAAAAATAAAAACATTTAAGGTTTAGATTAAAAGTCTCCCTGCCCAGCTGTCTCCTGACCTTGGAATTTCTCCTCAGCCTGGCCGCCTTTAATCTCCTGCCCTAGCTTGTAAAAGCCTTTTAGACCGAGGGCATTTATTTCCCAAAGAACTATTCTAGCCTAATCACATAAAAATGCCCAGCATCCCAGGAACGGCTTGTCAAGTGCAATGTGGTTCTGCAGTTCTCTCCAGAGGCCCTGGAGAAGGTGAGGAAATTGGGGCTCTGATCACCCTAGGAGTCATCCCTGAGTCTTTGCTTCCCTTCACTGTGCCCTTTCTCCATCACATCTGATCCATCAGGAAACCCAGTCGACTGTAGCCCTTCACATTTTCTTAAAATCTGAGCTCTTCTTGTCAGCATCGCCTCTTCCATCTTATCCAGGCCACCATCATCGCTCGCCGAGAGGTCTGCAGTAACCTGCTCCCTGACGTCTCTGCTTCTAAAGCCATTCTGTAACAGCAACCAAAAAAAATCTTTCTAAAACAAATCTGACCCTGTCCCTTCTCTGGTTGTATTATTTTGCTGTAACAAAACTGCTGTAACAAACTACACAAATTTGGTGACTTAAAAACAGTACAAGTGTATTCTCCTACACTTCTGGAAATCAGACGTCCAAAATGAATCATAAGGAGCTAAGATTAAGGTGATGACAGGGCTGGTTCCTTCTGGAAGCTCTGAGGAGAAGTCCATTTCCTTGCCTTTTTCAGCTTCTGTGCTCCTTGCCTTGTGACCCCTTCCTCCTTCTTCAAAGCCTATTAGTCCACTCTCTGCTTTTGTTGTCATATCTCCTCTCTTGAGCCCTCCTGTCTACTTCTTTTTTTTTTTTTTTTTTGCGGTACGCGGGCCTCTCACTGTTGTGGCCTCTCCCGCTGCGGAGCAAAGGCTCCGGACGCGCAGGCCCAGCGGCCATGGCTCACGGGCCCAGCCGCTCCGCGGCATGTGGGATCTTCCCAGACGGGGGCACGAACCCATGTCCCCTGCATCGGCAGGGGGACTCTCAACCACTGCGCCACCAGGGAGGCCCCTGTCTACTTCTTAAAAGGACCCTCGTGTTTACATTAGGCTCATCAGGACAATTCAGGATAATCTCTCCATCTCAAGCTCCCCCCCACTTTGCTACACGCCATGCAGGATCTTAGCTGCCCAATGAGGGACTGAACCTGTGCCCTCTGCAGTGGAAGCGTGGATTCTTAACCACTGTACCACCACGGGAAGTCCCTCAAGATTCTTGATCACATCTGCAAAGCCCCTTCTGCCTTATGCGTAATGTATTCGCAGGTTCCAGGGATTAGGACGTGGATGTCTTCATGGGTCATTATTCAGCCTACCACGCCTGCTTAAAGCCCTCCAATGGCTTTGCATCTGAGTTAGAATAAAACCCAAGCTCCCTACCCTTGAGAAAAGGTACGAGAAAGCTTCATCTGACCTAGTGCCTTCCTATTGCTCCAGCACCATGCTCTGCCCCATCCCACCCCTTTTAGCTTACTTGCTTCTCACAGTTCTTCCAACAGCCAAGTCTACTCTTGTCTAAAGGTGTCTCTGCACATGCTGTTCCCTCTGCCTGATTGCGTTCCCCCCAGATCTTCACATGGCTGGCCACTTCCTCCCTTTTAGACTTTAGCTCAAGTCTAAAGAGACTTCTCAGAGAGGTCTTTCCCAGATTAATCCATCGCACCCACCACTCCCTGCTGTCTCTCATATCACCTAAGTATACTTAATGTCAACATAAGCACTTAATGCTACTGTTTCGTTGTTGTTGTTGTTTTTAAGTTGTTTACTTATTTATTGTCTTATTTATTTATTTATTGTCTTTCCCTTCCATTAGAATGTGAGCAAATGAGAGAGGAAAACCTTTCCTTGCCTTGGTCGCTGCTGTATCCCCAGTGACTGGTACACAGTTTCCTTGATAAATGTGTTTTGAATGGATGGATGGATGGATGGATGATGATGATGGTCTGGATGTCCAATTTGGTCTCAGGGCTTCAGTGTCCAGGATTCAGGCTCAGGATGGAGGCAGATGAGAAGGGCAGGAGGGTACTTCCTGTGTGCCAGGCCCTGTGCTAGTCTTTCCTTTATGCAATTCAACATTTATTGAACACCTACTGTGTGCCAGGGCTGGTGCAAGTTACTTATTCATGCATGATTTATTCAATTCTAGGAGCATTTGAGTGCCTACTGAATGCTAGGCAATGTACATTTAATAAGCCTCTACTGTATACCACCTGCCCCAAATTAGTGCCTGGGTACACAGTAGTTAAATAAATGTCTGAATCAATGAATGCCCTCAAGGAGTCCCCAGTCTGCCTGCTAAAATGGCCTGTAAATAAGTAACTCTAACACACAAAGATAAGCCTATAACATGGGTGTGTTCAGAGTGCAGAGGGGGCCCTTATCACCTTGTATTGGCAGGTACCTTTCCCAGTCTTATCTTCTCACCTGGGAACTAGCTTTTTGAAGGTCAGGTAGACTCACCCCTCATTCACCTGCCTGTCCATCCCCTGGGCACCCAGGAAGGATCTTGCCTGTAGCACGTGCTCAATCAATGCCTGTTGTCTGATTACTGCTGATCCCCTACTGGCAGTTGTTCCTTCATTCATACCTCCGGCAAGAGGGCAGCAGCTCAGTCCTAACCCTGGTGCTGCTGGCAGTGAGCTGGGAGCCTCTGACAGGCTACCCACCCTCCCATTTGGCCTGACTTTTCCAGCCATCAGTGAAGGATTTGGTCTCCTTCCTTGGTGTAACTCCTTGCCTGGACTTCTATATAATCTATTATAAAAATTCAGGCAATGCACAGAAATTGTTAAAGATTCAAGTACTCACCATAAGGGATTCCCCTGGTGACCTAGTAGTTAGGATTCCAGGCTCTCACTGCGGTGGCCTGGGTTCAACCCCTGGTCGGGGAAGATCCCGCAAGCCATGCAGTGCGGCCAAAAACCAGAACAAAACAAATCCTCACCATAGTCACAAGACTTTGCCTGATCTGACACTTTCCTTCCCTCCTTCCATTCTTCTTTTTTAAAAAAATAGTGGTTAGGGGCTTCCCTGGTGGCGCAGTGGTTGAGAGTCCGCCTGCCAATGCAGGGGACACGGGTTCGAGCCCCGGTTTGGGAGGATCCCACATGCCACGGAGCAACTAGGCCCGTGAGCCACAACTACTGAGCCTGCGCGTCTGGAGCCTGTGCTCCACAACGGGAGAGGCCGCCACAGTGAGAGGCCCGCGCACCGCGATGAAGAGCGGCCCCTGCTTGCCGCAACTGGAGAAAGCCCTTGCACAGAAACGAAGACCCAGCACAGCCAAAAATAAATAAATTATTATTTTTTTTTTAAATAGTGGTTAAAAAATAACAAAATTTACATAACATAAAATTTACCATTTTAACCATTTTAAAGTGTACAGTTCTGTGTCATCATGTACATTCCCACTGTTATGCCACCGTCACCAGCATCCTTCCCTTCTTTTTTAATAATAATTTAAAAATTCACTATTTGCTCATCATCTTTTATTGGGGTCTTACAGTTAATGATCAGTTTGTTTGAATATTTACAAAGATAACTTTAATAATGTACCAATTGTTTTGATAAGAAATGGCTAATATGGAGTTTGGCGTAGTAAAATGAAGTTGTGAAATTACTTTTTGGAGTTACTGGCATGCAAAGTAATAAAGATTGTGCCACTGTGAGCAAGTATAAAAATGAAGAAGAATACTATGCAGTTCTAAGCTTAAAAAAATAGGAAATAAACATATATATGGTTTAAAATAATAATATATTATTGTTATCAATTTAAGAAACAAAACTTTACCACTTTCACAGCAGCATTATGCACAATAGCCAAAAGGTAGAAACAATCCAAATGTCCATCAGTGGATGAATGGAAAAACAATGTGCTATATACATACCATGGAATAGTATTCAGTCTTAAAAAAGAAGGAAATTCTGACACGTTACAGTATGGATGAAACTTGAAGACATTGTGCTCAGTGAAATGAGCCAGTCACAAAAGGACATATATGGTGTGATTCCACTTATGTGAGGTACCCAGAGTAGTCAAGTTCATAGAAATGGAAAACAGAATGGTAGCTTCCAGAGGCTGGGTGGATGGAGATTTGGGGAGAGTTATTTACTCACTAGGTGTAGAGTTTCTGTTTGGGATTGTTTGGGCTGAATGTTTACTTCCTCCTGAAACACTTTTTTTTTTTTTTTCGGTACGCGGGTCTCACTGTTGTGGCCTCTCCCGTTGCAGAGCACAGGCTCCGGACACGCAGGCTCAGCGGCCATGGCTCACGGGCCCAGCCGCTCCGCGGCATGTGGGATCTTCCCGGACTGGGGCACAAACCCGTGTCCCCTGCATCAGCAGGCGGACTCCCAACCACTGCGCCACCAGGTAAGACCTGAAACACTTTTTTAAAATGAATTTATTTATTTATGGCTGCATTGGGTTTTCGTTGCTGCACGCGGGCTTTCTCTAGTTGCGGCGAGCAGGGCTACTCCTCGTTGCAGTGCACGGGCTTCTCATTGTGGTGGCCTCTCTTGTGGAGCACAGGCTCTAGGCACGCGGGCTCAGTAGTTGTAGCTTGTGGGCTCTAGAGCACAGGCTCAGTAGCTGTGGTGCACGGGCTTAGTTGCTTCACAGCATGTGGGATCCTCCCAGACCAGGGTTCGAACCCATGTCCCCTGCATTGGCAGGTGGATTCCTAATCACTGTGCCACCAGGGAAGCCCCTCCCAAAACTCTTATGTTGAAGCCCTAACCCCCAGTGTGATAGAATCTTTGGAAGGTGATTAGGTTTAGATTAGGTCGTGAGAGCAGGATCCTTATGATGGGATTAGTGCCCTTATAAGAGGGGGAGAGAGAGAAAGGTCCCTTTCCACACACATACCGAGGAAAGCCTCCACGAGCACACAGGGAGAAGGCAGCTGCTTACAAACCTAGAATTGAGTCCTCACTGGGAAATGAATCTGCTGGCACCTTGACCTTGGACTTCCCAGCCTCCAGAACTGTGAGAAATAAATGTCTGTTGTTTACGCCACTCAGTCTATGGAATTTTGTTATACTGGCCCAAGCTAACTAAGACAAGGATAATGAAAAAGTTCTAGAGTTGGATGGTGGTGACAGTTGCACAACAATGTGAATGTACTTAATGTTACTGAACTGTACACTTAAAAATGGTTAAATGATAAATCCTATGTTATACGTATTTTGCCACAATTAAAAATCAAAGTGCTCACCTCAGTCTACTAAAGTTGGAACAATACAAAGGTTGGCATGGCCACTACACAAGGATGACATGCATATTTGTGAAGTGTTCCACTAAAAAAAAAAAAAAAAGAAAAAGAACAATAGTAACAAGAAAAACCCTAACATTACCAGCATTTCTCATTGAAATTCTCCATCGCCCCATCCCAGTCTCCTCCAACTCACTCCCCAGAAGTAACTACTATCCTCAGTTTTGGATTTATCCTTTACTGTAACATTGCTTTTCTATATACACTGTTTACTTTGGCCTGTTTTTCAACTTTATATAAACTTTACTGTGTGCCTACTTCTGCAGCTTGCCTTCCAGTTCAACATTTTTTGGTCAGAGTCATCTTGTAGACACAAGGAGCTCTAGGTCATTCTTTCTCACTGCTGCACAGTATTCCACCTTATGAGGTACCTGTCACAGGCTTCTTCAGAGCCTTTCCGCCTCCCCTCTCAGGTGATTTCCTTTGGCCACTTGTTTCATCCTAACCATTAATTACTATGTTGACCGATTCTGCGTGGGCTCTGACCAAATGGCCTCCATCTGGGCTTCCCTGTGTGACACTGAGTGACTGCCTAGGTGCTCGCATGTGGGTAATGCTGAAGAATAAGGAAGTTTACACCCCATGGGGCAAACCTTTGATCAGGAGCCAGTAGATAATTCTTCTCCCTTCTTCCTCTCCCCAGAACTGTCCTAAGTTGCCATAGTAAATATGGCCTTTTCTCAGTACTCTCATTCACTCCCCCTCTTTCCCTGCCTCACTCCCCCTTTTCTGCACTCTTGTTTCCTTGCACTGCACTTCCCAATAAAGTAGTACTGCAAACTCGATTCAGACTCCGCATTCTGAGGAACCCAAGAAAGACATATCTGTAATGTGTCCACTCCCCTGTCGATGCACGTTTGAGTTGTTCCAAGTTTTCTGAGATTGCATACAATGCAGCTGGGGCTACCATCCTTGTTCATGCTTCCTGGTGCACTTGCGTCTGTTTCTCTAGAAGGTTCCTAGCACAGAACTGCAGGATCATAGGCTGCATGTTCCTTCAGCTTTATCAGATACTGCCCAATTAGTTCTTAAAGTTCCTACTTATTTTTCCAGTTTATTTCATCCCTAACCCCCACCAGCAGCTCACTACATTTGGGTCATATGGGCCTTTTTTCAGTTCCTTTACTGTATGTGCTCCCCCATCATGAGGCCTTTGCATCTGCTATCTTTTCTGCTGAGAACACTTACCCCACACTCAGCCTAACTCCTCAGAGCTCAGCTCTGTGCCTCACTTCCTTGGAACAGGTCCTTGATTTCCTCCTCAATCCCAGCCTGGGTCAACCCTTTCCTCACCCCACCCATATTATATATCTCGTAGCCTCATATACTTCTCTGCTGTGATTCACTGATCCGTTGCAATGTTCTATCTGTGCAACTGTTGGTACAAAGTCTCCCCTCGGCTAAGTTTCACTAGCCTGAAAGTTGTGACCACCATGTTTGTTTCAGCTCGTTGCCGTATCTCTAGCATCCAACACCATGCCTGGCACATAGTAGGCAATTGATATTATTATTCTAATAGCTATTCTATGTTCTCACTCATCGAACTCAGTGGGTAATTTTTCCAACATGTTTTAACATTAATTAGCATCTACTGGGGGCTAAGATCATGACAATGTAAACAAAATCCTGTTCCTTGAGGAACTCACGGATAAAGTTTAACAAACATTAATTGAGCTTGCTGGACCCTTACCTATTTTAAGTGCTTAGAGCTAAGCACTTAAAACTGTTTAATTGGTTCAGAAGTTACCCCTAGTCTGAGTGTTACTGTAATGAGTAATGATGACCATTGTTTATTGAGCACTTATTATGTGCCAGGCACTCTACTAAGTGCTTTGCATTTACCATCTCATTCGATCCTCACATCCTACCAGGGAGGTAGTATTATTACCTCCATTTTACAGATGAGGAAACTGAGCCTTAGTAAGGTGAAGCTACTTGTTCTAGATCACACAGCTAGTAAATGGTGCAGACAGATTTCTCAGCCAGAATGCCTAACTTCCTATCACAATGTTAAACTTCCCCTGTCCCAATTACGATGCTTTCAATTAGATTCCAGAGACTGAGTTCTTAATCAGAATGGTAAACTAACGATAGCTACCGTTATGGGGCACTTATTGGGTACTAATCTCTTTATATCCATCCATTTATTTATTCAACAAATATTTACTGAAAACTTACAACATGCCAAGCTCTGTTTGAGAGGCTGGGGGTACAGAGGCAAACAAAACAGAATAAAATCCCTGCCTTGCAGAGTTGACATCCTAGTGGGAGGAGAAAAAAAACTAAACAAAATAAATAAAATATATGATAGATGGTGATCAGTGCTACAGAGCAAATGGAAGCAGAAAAAGGAAATGTGGAGTGTTATGGCTGGTGGTTCTATGATCTCATTTCATCCCCCCAACAATCTATTATTTTTCCCATCATAAAAATGAGATTCAGAGAGGTGAAGTCACTTTCCCCAAAGGCACACAGCTCACAGGCTAAGTCTGAACTCTGGAAAAACACAGGAACCCATCATGCACTTTTTGCTGTGCACCTACTGAGTGCCTCGCGTTGGAAACAAAAGGAGCATCAAACTTTGTTCCAGTTCCAAGAGTTGAAGATCTGGAAGGCTGGTAAGTTAACCCAGGTGAGTGGAGGACTCACAAAGCAGTATTCAGGTGTCTATGCTTTGCTGGGGGCAGACATTAAGCGCGCGATTGCTTGTGGGACATGCTAACGTTGAGACTGGAGTCGAGGCTCAGGCTGACGAATCGATTTTAGAGATTAGGAGCAGAAGATGAAGGCCGCCTAGTTCATTTTGGGGCTGTTGGTGACCCAGAGGCCTACCAGTCCTTGCCCTGCCCCCAGAGCTGGCTCTGCACTCCACTCGCTTCTGCCCTAGGTCTCCAGCCTCCAGGCCATCAAGCTGAGAGATTTAGAAAGTGGCTAGTGACAGAGTGCTACCCAACCCCACCGAAAGCCACACTCACATGCAAATAGGGCCTCCCCCACCCCATCCAGCATTACCAGCTTGAGGGGCCTCCCACACTCTGAGGGTCTGGGGTCTGGGGTGGGATGCGTGTTTGCAGGCCTCAGCTGCCAGCGTTGACAGCTGGTCCCCTGCCCCCTGGTGGCCCAGCGGCTCGGTTTCTGCCCAGCAGATCTCATGAACCCTGAACCCGGGAGGCAGTCTGGAATAGAGTGGAGAGCCTGGGCTTTGGAGCTAGAAAAGTGTAGAGCATTGCCTCCCCCAGGCCACCACCTTGTCTGTTGCACTTCACGAGGGCCTCTTAGAACCCTTGCATCTTCTTCAAAGAGGTACACTTTAAGGTTTAGTTTATCAAGCTGAAAACAGACATATTTTGGAGTTTGTAGGACTCATTCATTCAACAGATGTTTGTTGCGTATATTTTATGAGCCCATCCCTAGGGGTTGAGGATAAGCAGTGAGTGAGACCAAGTCTCAGAGACTTCTCCTTTCAGTGAGACAGACAGACAGTAGACTATTAATACGTGAGCATTTTATTATAATTGTGAGAAGTGCTCTGGATGAGAAAAGGTTTTGTGCTAAGGTAAACTGGGCAAACTTACCTGCTCTCAATTTGCAATGGGCAAGATTTCTCTCTTCAGGCTGGGGATAAGAGCCAACGGTCCATCTCATTTCAGAACATCCTAGCCTCACCGGGATAAAAGGGCTGCTCTCAGGCATAGATAGGTGTTGCGGGGTAAAGAAGAGGGTTTCCTAGAAAGTCCGCTCTGTGTATGAATCTAGGAGGCACTTAATAAATAATTGGTGAATTACTGACTGTCATTTCGAGGAGGGTTAAAAAGGCATCTGCAAAGGGTGTTATACAATGGATCGCTAGGAAAAGAGAAAATCTTAGTACTTTTATTCCTAGCTTTCTGAAGGGGAGGAATTTGGGGACTAGCGTAGGAAAATTAGGGGTGCTGGACTTCCATTAGACACTTTTAGAGTAGGTGCTGGCACTGTGCTACCGTGAAGATACATCAATGAATGAGAGAGACGGGGTCCTTGCCCTCCTAGGGCTCACTGTCTGGTGAGAGCATAAGCAACAATGAAATAATGTCATAAGCATTACGAGGGGCCAGCAAAGAGAAGCCATCTCGGATGATGCCAGGAGGATAAATAAGAGCTATTATATTATTCTATTCTAAATATGAGGAGGAGGGCTGGCAGGAGAGAGTGCTCTGAGTGGAGAGAGCATAGGCCAAGGTCTGGAGGAGAGAAAGCAGCTTTATTCAAAGAACTCAAAATAGTTCGGCGTGTTCAGACTTTGAAGGAGACCTGTTGGGGAGACAAGGAATATTGGAGAGAAAAGCAGGGCTGTTGCACTCATCTCAGGCAGCCTTCCTCTTGGGGGAAAACTAAATTTCTTCTTTTTTTGGCCTTGCCACGCGGCTTGTGGTATCTTAGTTCCCGGGACCAGGGATCGAACCTGTGACCCCTGCAGTGGAAGGGCAGAGTCCTAACCACTGGAACGCCAGGGAATTCCTGAAAACTAAATTTCTTTCTTTTATTTTAAAAATTAATTAATTAAATTTTGGCTGTGTTGGGTCTCCGTTGCTGCGCATGGGCTTTCTCTATCTGCGGCAAACGGGGGCTACTCTTCGTTGCGGTGTGCACGCAGCCTTCTCACTGCGGTGGCTTCTCTTGTTGCAGAGCCCAGGCTCTAGGCACGCGGGCTTCAGTAGTAGTTGTGGCACACGGGCTTAGTTGCTCCACGGCATGTGGGATCTTCCTGGACCAGGGCTTGAACCCGTGTCCCCTACATTGGCAGGTGGATTCTTAACCATTGCACCACCGGGGAAGTCCACTCTTTCTTTTTAAAAAAATATTAATTATTTATTTATTTGGCTGCGCCAGGTCTTAGTTGCGGCAGGTGGGATCTTAGTTCCCTGACCAGGGATCAAACCCACGCCTCCTGCGTAGGCAGTGCGGAGTCTTAACTATTGGACCACCAGGGAAGTCCTGAAAACCAAATTTTGATTCCACAACTAGTTAGGGTTATGAAGTCCAGGT